TATACGGGGGCGGGGGCACCCCCAAGGCACATAAATTGTTCTCTTAGCCATGTGCGGTGCCCCCCTCCATAGTTTACTCCTTCGGTCATAGCGTCGTAGTGCTTAGGCGAAGCCCTGCGCGGATCACATCACCATCACCACGCCGTCGTGCTGACGAAACTCTCCCTCGACCCTCTGCTGGATCAAGAGTTCGAGGGACGTCATTGAGCTGAACGTGTGCTGAACTCGGAGGTGCCATACGTTCGGTACTAGATCGTTTGGATCGTGAAGACGTTCGACTACATCAACCGTGTTAACCTAACGCTTCCGCTTTTGGTCTACGAGGGTACGTGGACACACTCTCCCCCTCTCCTTGCTATGCATCTCCTAGATAGATCTTGCGTGATCGTAGGATTTTTTTTTTGAAATTGCATGCTATGTTCCCTAACACTCCTCCCGCGCGCCCAAGAAGTCTCCCACCTCAGACTATGATGTTGAGGAGGCTGAGAGAACCACCACCGAAAGATCATCACCGGTAACCTCTATGTCATGTTGTCTATCATTGACGCCTTAGTGGCATGTGGCGTTGTCATATCCAATAGCCAATAGTTGCACCAGGAGCATTTATTTGTGTTGCTCGTGCATCGTAGTTATAGGTCAAGGACAACAACACGTTTGGCCAGTAGCTCGCGTGACCGACGATGTTACGTCCAAAGGGTTCCTTAAGTCACCGGGCCTCGACCCACCAGGCCACGAGGCCCCAAGGTCGCTTCACGCCCCAACCATCACCCCCGCTTGTGGTCTCTCTAGAAGGAAGGAGCCCACAACTTTTTTTTCTTCACACAATGTCTCAAAACATTAAAGTCACCACCAACTCTGTAAGGAATAGTTATATTACCAAAAAGGAGACACGCTTCAGGAGAAATTCCTCATGAGCAGAACCATGGACTACCAGCAACCCCCATTTATTTTTCGTATTGATGTCCACATGTTAATTTGCACAGTGCACTTGCCTTTAGAATAAGACCTGACCTCAAAGGTTTAATTCTTAGTACCACATAGGATGCCACCAGATTTGTCAATAGAAGGTAGCCAAGTCCAGATAAATGTATTAAAGGGGTCTATCTTCCTAAAATAACTAGGCAGAAATATATTTTCCCATTGTTTCCTGCAGACCCAATAAGTTTAGGGAATGGTCACTAATCGGTGCCGAGAAGCAGATGGTCATTCTTTTCTTGCCTGCCCCTCTACAATTCTCATTTGGAACATTTATTCTGACATTGAGATCTGGTAACTCTGCTAAGGGGGTGCGCAGAGTTACCACAATTCACAGGGATACAATACTACAATACTATTCTTTGGCTTCTAGTCACATGCCTAGAAAGCAAAACATCATCTTTTTCCGAACTTTTCTTCTTTCTAGACCTAGTTGTTTCAAAGAAGCTTCCTCAAAATCATTACTATCCAATCCAACCAACTCAAATATATAGGAGCTTTTGTTTACCCAAACAAGTCATTAGTAGTAGGTTGAACATGAGTAGTACAAGATTTTTCAAGCAAATTCCCTCTAACATCTGACTCTCTCAACACATCAATGCAAGAAAATCATTCTCATGAATTGACACAACCATTTTAGCCACTCTACACATCATCTCTTGATTAGAGAAAGAATCAAAATAATTTTTATTCACTAAAGGGGAGTCACCTTCCAGATTTCTTTTACTGGCAAGATTATCAACTCTAACTTCCATATTTTTCGGTTGGATCCGAGCATTGTGTTGACTGAACCTCAATTTGATCGCGAGAGCCAAAGGTGTGATAGGAATAACCTCATCAGTATAATCAAAAGAAGGAGATTGTACCATGTACTCATTGGAGACCTTCAGGGTAGGGTCCACCTCACCCACCACCTCGAACATCTGAGTAGAGTTAGTACCAACCTCGACATAATATCTAGAATAACTTCTAGGAAAATAATGGACCCCGATAACACCCGAGCATTCATGATTTCACCATGGCAAATCTAACGCTTTCGATGGAAATTTTAGTGACACGAGGATGGCAATTTTAGTTGGCAAGCATGGCAAATCCGTGGTCAGTGTATTTTTGCAAGTAAATTGTTGTGCATGCCAACTAAACTTGCCATCCTCACGTCGCAAATTTTTTCATAAAATCGTTCGATTTGCCATGGTCAAATCCCGAATGTTCGGGATTTACCTTGTTATTTAGAGGAACCATGTTTAGCAGGAACATGAGCCACAATAGTAAGGGTGTTATGTGGGATAACCCACTTGTTAGAGGTCATAGCCACCTGAATAACTTCTTCCATTGCCCCATCATTTCCGCGAGCCAGACTCACAATCAGAAGAGTACTATCCACTTCACTTTTTAAAGATTCAGACAACTATTTATCATCGGAAGCCATTGGACAAATTTTCCCCATGCTCATCAGAATGCCCAACTCTGTTACTACCAAGGGACTCAGAATTATTTGTACCATGAACATTATCCTGCCTTCTATGTGTATGAGTTTAATTTAGATTTTCAACTATGTCTCTGGCAACAGAATACAATATCAACAGGCGGGTTACTCACCAGGACTTCCTCAATTTCATATTGAAAATTGTAAAAAAACAACCTCCTAGCACCCTTAAGCAACAACATGGAGTTCGTTAATGTTCCTGCAGCCAATCTTGACTCACACAGAGGAATGACGATGTACAAGTTATGTTATTGAAAATCCGTTCTTCTAGCAGTTCCGGTTTGAGCCCAACCAGACCACCAACAAATCACACATTTCTTTCACATCTTTTAGCAAAAGGAATTTTGCTCACTTTAACTGAAGCAACTTCCAGAACACCTTCAGAGCCAACAACATCTGACCAAGGAGATAATCTCACAATAGCATCACACAATTTAAGTGTCATACTTTCAATGTATAAAGCCCTTTCCACCTCTCTAACATTAGGAAATCTCATAACATACTGACTAGGACCAATCACCCGAGCAGGGATGGCAGTTTTGCCCATGGGTACGGGTACCCGCGGGTACCCTACCCGAAAACAATGGGTATGGGCAGGACTTGAAGAGATTTTCTACCCACGGGTAATGGGTACCCATACCCGCAAAATATATGGGTAGGGCATGGGTAAGAAATTGTGCCCATGGGTAACCCAATGGATACCTAGAAAAAATTAATAAATGAAAATAACTCCTATAACATGTGGGGTTAACATCCAACTCATATGGTCCAACCCTAAATCTCGCATTCCTTAAACAAGTCATAGCTCATAGGCTCATAATCACCTGCTCGCCACTCCTCAAACATCCTATGTGACTCCTCAAAAGATGAAATATCGACTCTTAGCTACCAGACTCTTGTCGAACACTAGATCCAGTGATCCCCAATTCCCACCACCGCCTTCCACTACGTCGGCCTTCCACCAACCGTTGCTCATACTCCCCTAATGCCTCCAAGAGGCCACCCACTGGAGGAGGCCACATACGTGCTATACTACTCTACCATGATCACTTGAATTTTGAACTCATTTCTCTACCTCTTAAGAATTTGAATGCTATATATTGTACCCAATTGATACCCATTGGGTATAGGATACCCGATGGGTATGGGCATGAGTGTCAGTTTATACCCATGGATATTGAAGTGGGTGGGTGTAAAAAGTTCCTATGGGTATGGGTTTGGGTAGAAGGAGGTTGTACCGGCCCATACCCTATCCATTGCCATCCCTACGAGCAGCACAACACCTACCAGCCCCAACATAAGTACAAAATTCATGTTCTTCCTCTCTACCAGTTGTAGATCCCTCAGTAATAGTAATGGCTATGCTACTAGACCGGTCTTTGATTTGCTTAATAATACAGTAATCATGAATATAGTAGAATCCCTGACCTCTAGACTGGAAAGCACACATGGCAGACGTGCATTCCCATGGTAAAAAATCAGTGCAAATAACATAGATCCATTCTTGTTGCAACATTCACAGAAAGCTTGCGGTCACTTTGTTGTGTAATGGCCAACAATGTTGTAGATCTGACAAACCTCAGGATTTTTGTTGTGATTGTTGGTGAGGGCTGGTGGATCTCGCCCTTAAGGAGGCAAGGGTGACTTCGTAGGTTGACGATGAGTATTGTTGCCGCCTCCAGCATCGGCAAGCGGATGGGTGGCTTCACCCTCACTGCTCATGGCACTGCAGATCGATCTGACAAATCACAACAGTTTCCTCCCATCTATTGTTACTACTATTCGCAGATGGAGACAAGGCGTTGGAGGGGGAATTGCTATGCTACGGATGTATGGGCTTCCAGGGAGCCCGGAGAGAGATGTGCAAAGTTGTTTGAAAATAAGATGGTGATTGATAAGGACTCGAAAGGAAATTAAAGGAAGAAATAAGACCTGACATGGAATTTTGGTGTGAGTGAGAGAATGTTTTCTCTCTTACAAAAAAAGAACTTGAGTGGAAGACAAATGCGAGAACCAAAAAGCACATACGGAATCAGGTGCAACACGCACGGCCAGATCTGGCAGTGACACTGCGCCCATTTGAATCGTCAAATATAGTAAAAAAGGAATCCAACCTATCAATATTGGAAGAGAGCATACGAATCGAACCTGATCATCGACCACTAGCCTGCCCGCAGCTGCAAGGCCGGGCAGTGCGCGCGCGCGTAGTGCGGATTCCGCGCTCGGCCCAAGCGCGTGGTTACACGTCGAAAGCGGCTGGGCGATCGACTATAAAAGGGGATGCAGGCCACACAGTTTTAGGCAGCACCGAGCTAAGATCAAACACAAGGCACCGAGCCGTCTTGTCTTGTAGCATCATCTTAGCGTGTGTGCTGCTAATCCTCGTAAGTGATCACGAGTCGTTTTCATACTTCCGTAGGTATTATCTTCTTGAATTTGTGGACTGGTTGTGCTTACTGTTCGTTGTGATTATAATTGGGACAAAGTAGTACAACGGTTGATCGTTAATTAATTTACCTTTTGTTGGTAGTTTTCAAGCATGGGTGGAGGCCACGACATGCACGGCAGCCCCAACGGCGGCGTGAAGGGCTTCGTGTCCGGCCTCGTTAACGGCGGCAAAGGCCACGGCTACGGGTCATCGTACGGCCAGGGGCACGGCTACGGCGGCGGCCATGTACAGGGCTACCAGCAGGGATACGACGGGCATGGACAGAGCTACGAGACCGGGTACGGCGGGCATGCGCAGCACGGGCACGGCGGCTACGAGCACGGGTACGGCGGCGGGCATGTGCAGCAGGGACACGGGCACGGCCACGAGCACGGGTACGGCGGACACGGGCAGCAGCACGGATACGGCGGCGGCCACGCGCAGCTCGGGTACCCTCCCGCTGCCGGCGCCTACCCTCCACACGGCGGATACCAGGCGCACGGCTACGCGCCGGCGGCCTACCCCTCTCACGGGGGGCACCAGGGTAAGTAACGGGACTATATCTACACCATCTATGCACCTTCATTCATCAACTGTCAAATTTGAGACGTACGTACGGGACACATAAAACGTGCGCATACGTGGGTGCAGGTCACATGGGATCATACCACACCGGGCATGGCGGCGGGCACCACCACGGCGGCAAGTACCACGGCGGCAAGTACAACGGCGGCAAGCACGGCAGTAAGTGGATCAGGTGAAGTGGCGCGCGCGGCAGCGCGTACGTGCGTGTGCGCCTCCATGACATGCCTCAGTTGATCACTAACCATGCTCTCCGTATGCTACCTAAATAAGAGCGATATATGCATGGTGTGTGATACTTTGTAGCTTTCGTTTCAGCTGGTAATGATGTGTGTGGTGACCTAATAAGTCTGTGTGTGGCTTAGTACGAAAAATTTGTGTTCACTGTACTGATGAATTACAAGGTATATGTACCACCGTGCTCGGCCTGTGTGTACTGATGCATCAAATAAAACTTCCTATTGAATGCTCGCTTTTATTTGAATAATGCTACACATACAAAGGTTTACACGAGTTTTACAAACAGGTGGGTTTTGATTGGAGATTAAGAAGGAGGAAGGGCCCACCCCCCTGAAAATCAGGGGGGCAGTGGTTAGTTAGAAAGAAAGAATCCTAGTCAGCGTGTAATTACGTGTAACTCTTTGTATGTTTAGCATTATTGCTTTTATTTAGGGTATGGGGCCATTTGCGCTACTCTGGTAGGAGAACAAAGCAGCAGAGGGTGTGGAAATCTGTGAGGGGAAAGGGATGAGGAGGAAGGGGTAACAAAGTACTGCCTTCGATTTATTTTCTCAACTTAAGAAAAATCTTGTACCTAGGTACAAATTTTTTTAGAACCTCGCCGGAGGGCGGGGAGCTCCCGCATTGCATTTAGAAGAAGCATAATTCGTCCGATTAATGAAGGAAGCCAGGCCTACAAACTACACAAGGGAACAGTTAATTAAGAAAAAAAGATGAAACCAGCACAAACCTGACAAGCAATCAGGGCACATCATCCGAGCCGGATACAAGTGTGCCTAGGCCCAAGACCATCCGAAACACCACACACCTAACCAAGTGAAGCTCCCCGACCTCAAGACCATGCTCGCAACCATATGTGTACTTGCGCTTAACCTTATGAAGAACTTGATCAAGCATTTATCTCTACCAAGAAACAAATTGGTTGGATCATTATATGCGTGAGTGGCTTCTTGTACATCTATAGGTAAGATTTCATTTTCTCTTGCACATCCTCCCTGGTGACTTTCTTGGATGTCGCGCCCTTAAGAAAATCCCTGAAAGCTTCAGCCCACTTAAATTCAGTGCCCTTGGAAGCCGGGACGTTGTAGTTTTTCTTTCGGCACAATTAGAGGCCGCTTCAATCTGTGCATGAACCGGTGCATCGAGCAAGGAGCGTGGCACAACGTAATGGGACCGAAGCTGCTCAAGAAATCATGCAACAAGGTTGATAATGTCGGGCCTTGCGGCTCGCAAATGTCATGAAGCGACTCATTGGACTCAGAAGTCATCAGGTTGCGAGGGTCACCTGACGTTGTCAAACCACTCCAACTAATCTAACAAGCAAAGCCGCTTGTGTCAGCTCCATGCCATTGCTTGGAGTCACAATCTACCATAACTTGCTCCTCCACACCTTGAATCATCATCTTGGCCAAGACAAGATGCAAAGCATGATACACATCCTCAAACTGTGCCAACATACACTGGCGGAGCTTAGTGTAGACCAAGGGGGGCCATGCCCCCCCCCCCCTATTTAATTTTGGCATTCATTGAAGTGCATGCTAGCTTTTAGGCCCAATTATTTTTTTCAACGACTGATTAGTCCCTCCTGGCCTACTAATTGTTCCCCTTGAGTCATGACCCCTCTTAAATTTTGCTCAAGCTCCACCACTGCCATCGTAGCTAGTAACTCGAAGGTGCCACCGCTAACACTGATCTTGCTGATATCCTTAGCACCCGCAACAAGAAGACGTGCAGATTCCTCGTGCTCACACTAGGAAGGGGAGGGAGCAGTGGAGGGAGCCAAGAACACTGAGGGAGAACAAACTTGCTATCGAAGTCGTCCAACTACTCCAAAAGGCATGCGACCCAAGTTGTGCAGTCCTGGATAGCAGCCACCATGTGCAAAGCGGCTGAACAACCTCGCCCAAACGAGAGACAAACACAACCCACAACTCAGCGCGTAGAGTCTCCACCTGTATTGTAAGGAGAGGTTGTAGCAGCCCCAAAACAGCGGTAGCCATGCCGGGATCAGTAATAGAGCCTCCAGAGCATGCACGGTAGGATGAACAACAACTGAAGTCCACAAAGCGTTGTTGTTGATGTTGAGGGGTTGGAGGAAAGCGGCTGCACTCGCCAAGCAAGCATGCCTCGCGATCGACATGGAGGCGAGTAGGAGCGTTGATGAGGAGCTTGACCAGCTGGTCGACACAACGGGTAGTTACATTCTCGATCGCCAGGGCAGCGGCAACCCAAGCACCAGACAAGATCACGACAGACAATGATGAAGTGGTCCGGCGCCTAGCAGTGAAGGATAGGCCGAACTCCGCTTGAAGGTGAGGCGGAGTCTAGTCTCCTTCCTGCGAGGAAGATTGGGTGCCTTCTGCAGCCTCGGGCGATGCCATCATGATGGCATGACAAGATCACTCCATGATATGGATGACAAAGAAAGGGGTCAATAAGAAGGTAAGCTCACCCTTAGTTGTCATAAATGAGTCAACTGATGGTGACTAGATTGGTTACAAAAATGTTAAGGTCGGCGGCATGGCAGGAGGTGAGATAAGAACGTACCAATTCAGGCCGCCACACCGTGGATGTTAGGGTCAGGGTGGGGGAGGGGGCGGCATCGAGAGAGTGCAAAATGTTAGAAATGGCTATGAATAAGAAATCCATAAAAATATAGGGACATAAATATTGTTGTGAGTGGGCAAAGACAAAAAAAAATAGGGACATAAATATTGTTGTGAGTGGGAGGGAGATAAATTCCAAAACCGAAAAGCACGAATGGATCAGGTGCTGTGACACACTGCACCCATGCTAACCGTCTAATAAGAGAAAGAACGAATCTAACCTTTCGATCTTTTCGAAGAGAGCATACGGATCGAACCTGACCGCCAAATTTATTAAACATATATTGAAAAAAGAATCTAAACCGACGTGCGTGGTTCACGCGGGTGGTACGCGTCGCCGAATCAGGCCGCGCGAGTATAAAATGGGTCGCACTCTCGACAGTTCTTGAGCAGCAACGAGCTAGATCAAACACAAATCGCCGAGCGATCATCTCTCCGTGTGTGCTAGCTTCTAATTCTCGTAAGTGATCACGAGTCGTTTCATATGCATTTTGTTCGCTTTACAAGCTTGCAACTCGTCAATAGCTAACGGATTGATCTTATATTTATTGGTGACTAGTAATCGATCATGGGTGGAGGCCACGACATGCACGGCGGCCACAACGGCGGCGTGAAGGGCTTCGTGTCCGGCCTCGTTAACGGCGGGAAAGGCCACGGCTACGGATCGTCATACGGCCAGGGGCACGGCTACGGCGGTGGCCACGTGCAGGGCTACGGCGGCCATGGCCAGAGCTACGAGCACGGGTACGGCGGGCATGCGCAGCACGGGCACGGCGGCTATGAGCACGGGTACGGCGGCGGACATGCGCAGCACGGCCATGGCCACGAGCACGGGTACGGCGGACACGTGCAGCAGCACGGATACGGCGGTGGCCACGCGCAGCTCGGGTACCCTCCTGCCGCCGGTGCCTACCCTCCGCACGGCGGTTACCAGGCGCACGGCTACGCGCCGGCGGCCTACCCCTCTCACGGGGCGCACCACGGTAATACGCACCTTCATTCATCAACTGGGAAGTAAGTTTGAGACGCTGGGGACGCCATAAAACGTGGGCGCATGCGTGGGTGCAGGTCACATGGGATCGTACCACACCGGGCATGGCGGCGGGCACCACCACGGCGGCAAGCACGGAGGCAAGTACCATGGCGGCAAGCACGGCAGTAGGTGGTGAAGTACTGAAGTGGCTAGCTGCAGCCATTGCTGGCGCGCTCTACGACGTCCACGTACCTGTGCGCCCCCATGGCCAGTTACGTACGCTGGCGTATCTCCATCATCTGCCTTAGTTGATTCACCATGCTCCGTTGTAGCGACCAATAACGTCTTACATTACTGAGACGAAGGGAGTACTACCTAAATAAAGAGCTACGCGTGCATGGGCAAGGTGTGTGGTATGTAATGTCTGTGTACCTTAAAAAATGTAATGATCTATGTGGTGACCTAAGTCTGTCGTGCGTGACTTAATAGGAGTACTACATAAACATAATTTTTATTTTTAGTCGACTGGAAATGATTGGCCTCTAATCTAATTGTCACGCTGGTTCCATCGTTCCCTTACCGGGCCTATGCTTTCCCTGCTCCTTTTCTCTGGCCGCCCACTAAGACTCTCGGTGTCGTTGTCTTTTCATTTTTTATTTTAAAGTTTATCTTTCTCTTTTATTCTGAATAGTAAGGTGCCCGTGCGTTGCAAGGAACATCAAAATGCATTATTCAGGATGGTATTTTGAGGGTAACATCATGTGTAAAAAATATCAAAATCTGTTTCCCACATATTCATTCTGCTCCTGAACTCACAAGCATCTAAGTGAATAGTAAATGCAGGCAAACCAACAAAAAACATTTTTTTTGAAAACAAACACGTTTGAGTGTGCAGTTCCATGCAGAACTTCGTGAAGACATAACATACATGGTGCTTCGCAAAAACAAATACTCAAAAAAATTTAACAGTTTTGCTAAAGCACATCTAGATATGCCCTAAATATTGCATATCTAAGTCCTATACCATTGATTTTATGTAAAGATTCGTGCATATCTAAGTCTTTTTTCCTTTTCTTTCTAGTTTGATTGGGTCACTTAGATGTGCAATAACTAGAGCATATCTAGATGTGCCCTAGATAGACCCAAACTTTAAGATAGTTTTGTAAGTATCCATTTTGTTTATTTTCTAGACCACGATGAATGTTATTTTTCACAAAATGTTGCACACAGCCTGAACAGTTCAAAATGTTTGTTGGCCAAACATTTATTTTTTTGAATTTATTGCTACTATTTGAGCTCAGGAACTAAGTTCATGCCCCATCTTTCTTGTGTTGTTTCCACAACAATGGGTAAAAAATTAGGAGGAACCTAGATTAGAGTCTTACGCGCTGCCCGTCCATTTTCACACTGTAATGTTAAGGATTGATACAAATAAATGAAGCAAAATACTGTCTTGTTAAATTAAGTTAATAAAGCTATTCATTTCATTTCATATCCTTACAATGCAAAAAATTTGAAAAATGTGCCGCTACATAGAGAACCACCCCTTGGTTTTTCTCCTATCTGGCGATCGCATCGCCAGCGAGTCCCCGCTTCGATCAAGTGCCCCTCGACTCGCGTGGGGTGTGCGAGTACGCTGCCCGTTCCTAGCCCCGGGTAGCGATGGAACCTGCAGCGAACGCCCAGTCAGGAACCAGCGGTGGTGGCGGCGCCGCCAGAAGGCCGGATCTGGGTGATTTCCTAGAGCAACTCAATCTGGACAACACAGACTTTGATGATCTGGTAATTGATGAGGACGATCCTGTGATCAACGAGTGCGTGAGATGGTTGGCCCTTGCTAGGGTTCATACAGAGAAAAGCTTCAGCCAGGCAGCCTTCTACTGAAGGAAATATGCCCTAGAGGCAATAATTTAGTTATTATTTATTTCCTTATAATCATGATAAATGTTTATTATTCATGCTAGAATTGTATTAATCGGAAACATAATACATGTGTGAATACATAGACAAACAAAGTGTCACTAGTATGCCTCTACTTGACTAGCTCGTTAATCAAAGATGGTTATGTTTCCTAACCATGAACAATGAGTTGTTATTTGATTAAAGAGGTCACATCATTAGTTGAATGATCTGATTGACATGACCCATTCCATTAGCTTAGCACACGATCGTTTAGTATGTTGCTATTGCTTTCTTCATGACTTATACATGTTCCTATGACTATGAGATTATGCAACTCCCGTTTGCCGGAGGAACACTTTGGGTGCTACCAAACGTCACAACGTAACTGGGTGATTATAAAGGAGCATTACAGGTATCTCCAAAAGTAGATGTTGGGTTGGCGTATTTCGAGATTAGGATTTGTCACTCCGATTGTCGGAGAGGTATCTCTGGGCCCTCTCGGTAATACACATCACATAAGCCTTGCAAGCATTACAACTAATATGTTAGTTGTGAGATGATGTATTACGGAACGAGTAAAGAGACTTGCCGGTAACGAGATTGAACTAAGTATTGGATACCGACGATCGAATCTCGGGCAAGTAACATACC